TTAAAATATTGTTTTTAATTCTTTTTTCTTTCTTTCCTTTCAGATATTCCCATTAGATATATTAAAGTATTGTAGTTTTCTTATAGCTCATGAATACTCTGTACTGCTTTGATCCCTTTTGTTCTTTGCTTTTCAGTTCTGAGAGTTTCTGTTGACATATCCTCATGCCCTGAGTGTCTTTTCTTGTCACTAGTCTACTAATGAGCCCATGGAAGACATTCTTCATTTTGGTCACAGTGGTTTTTGTCTCTAGCATTTCTGTTTGGTTCTTAGGATTTCTATCTCTATATATTGTCTACTTTCTCCATGAAGGTCTGTTCCATATCAATCATACTTGTGTTAAGTCTTACTTTAGTGAGTCCAACATTCCTGCCATATTTTACTCTGCTTCTGATGTTTCTTTAGTCTCTTTAAACTGTATTTTTTGTTTTGTTTTGCACTTATTTATTTTTTGCATTTCAGTATGCCTTTTAATCTTTCTTGATAGCTACACTGATGTATTTGGTAAAAAGAGTGGCAGTAAATAGGCATCTGTTCACCTGTCTCAGTGTGGGAGGAAGGAAAGTGCTCCATAATCCTTTGATTAGGTTGTAGTCTTTTAGTGAACTTGTTTTCTTGGTCTATAGACTTCATGGTGATTCTTAGAATTTCTCCCCTTTATTTGGACCAGGATAGTTGAGGGACAGGAGTTGTGTGTTTCTCTTTCCCCACACGGATGTCCACAGTGGGATGGAACTTGGTCTTCCCTCCCCCCAGGTAAGGTGAGCTCTGATTAAACCCTAGTAGGTTTGGCTTTGGTAGAATATCATAGTTGCTTCTGTGGACAGCCTTATTAAAATGGACAGAGACTCTGATGTATTGCAAAGTGGTACTGTCCCCCTTGTTCTGCTGAACCATGACACATCTTCATGGTAGAAATATCTTTTCTGTGAGAACCTTGTAGGCCCCTGGATGTAAAAGTGGCAGAAGCTCTGTGATTGGCCTGGAGTTTATAACTCTCAGGTTTGATCATACTGCAAACCTAGCAATTTGTTACTTACAGTTCAGGTCTTCCTATCCTGGTATTGGCTCCAACAGAGCTTTCTACTCAGGAGTTTCTGCATTGGCCCAGTGTGATTATTTTGTATTTGCCAGTCTGTGTGTCTGGTTTTGGGGGCACTTGTTTGCCTGTCGCCTTACTTCTCTAACAGATCTAAGAAGCATTGTTACTTTTTCCATTTGTTCAGCTTTTTACTAGGGTAAAAAGGGATTACTTCCACTCCTTATGTGCTGAACTAGTAACTAAAAGTCAGAGAAGGGCCCCGTGTTGCATAGTAAATGGGTACAGTTCTAGGAAAATAGGGATGATTGGTCATCCTGGTTGGGAGTAAGAAACCAAGCATCTTGTCTTGATTTGGGCGAATCTCCTTGGGGAGGGCAGTTGAATCTTGGAATCTCTGTTCCTCTTGTGTGAAATGAAAAGATTGACATTGGACTTCTTTCGAGTTACTTCTATTTCATGAAATCTGATTTTCTTTATATCAGTGTTCTTAAAGCAAAGGATTTCTGAACTTACACTGATGGATTCTTGCTAGGAGATGAAACCTTGCTAGGAGATAAAAACCTAAATTTTCTTGCTCAATATATGTTGTCTTGGTTTGGAATAATCTAGGTTTGGAGAACATGGTGAGTGAGGATTTTTTGTTTAGGGAAAGAGCCTCTTTGCAATTTCCACCCATTAAGATATTGGTCAGAAGGCAGGGAGTTTTCTCCCTTTGACATCATCTATTTGAAACAGAATAATCCTTGTTAATGCTAGATTTAGGCTCTTCTGTCCCTGTTAGTTGAACTTGACTAAAAAGATCCTAAGTAGAAGTAGGAGTGAGGTGGGGGAGGAGTGCTAGGTCTGGCCCAGCCTCTTAGTGTAGGAAATAAGTCTCTGGCATTGGCCTCTGGTTTATTTCTTTCTGAACCTTTCAGTCCCTGATTTTCCAATTTTTTCATGCTTTCTGATTTGCCTGGCAACATAATCAGAAACATTAAGCGCATCATTATCTTCTAAAGTCCACAGCAGAGAAATAGCTAAGACAGTTTTTTTTATGGAATTGTAATGTGCCCACTTGAACACAAACCCTAATTTCCTGAAGTCTAGCTCTAGTTTGAAGAATTGCCTGGATTTTTTTTTTAATTGAATTTTACTGTCAGAGAAACTGCCAATACACATTGCCAGTGTTGTTATTTTTCTTTATATATTTTAATCTTAGCTCTTGAGTATAAATAGCTCTCTCTTGCCTTTCCTTCCAAGAGTTGAGTATCAAATGCGTGACCAGATTGTGGAATTTTGCATGGGCTTCTGGCTTCACAGGGAAATGGGGCATGCTTGCTGTCTCACTGTCTTTTCTTGCAAATTATAGGTTTTCCTAGAGGCAAATAGACATAGGGAGAGGTCAAACAATTCTAAAACATAAACAGGGTCTTAAGAGGTCTCCTGCTCCAACTATTTGCAACTGGCAGGATGATATTCACACCATTCCACATAGAAAAGAGGCTGTCACGGTGTGCCTTGTGAATAATTTCTTTCTGAAGAGGGTCTTCTGAAAGGTTTCTAATTCCAAGCCAAGTCAGTCAACAACTACAGAAGACACTATAAAGCTGGTATGGTATTAAGTACTAGGAATATAGCAGTGAGTGATGCCAGTGAATAAATGAGAAAATCAGTGATAATGGAACAAAGTCTGAACCAGAGAGACCTAGGACCACAGTGATATTGGTACAGCTTGGGAGCGAGTGGGCAGTGTGCGTGGCGATTGTAACAGCTTCCATGCTATCCTATAGAGAACTAGAAACTAGTAAAGTAATTGCAAATGAATGACCCCAGTGTGAAACAGTCAACAGTTCATTACCATATGTCAGTAAGCATCCATATTTTATTTTTCTCAAAGCAATGGTGAAGTAGCTTTTATTCCCATTTTACACACAGGAATGTTGGGATTCAGAAGCTGTTAGAGACCTTGTGCCTGAGACCCACTGCCCTTTATTACTTTTGATGACCACATTGAAATTTTATTTCCTTTGTGCATTCCTTTCCTTTGCCCAAGGCTATACAGGTAATTCAAGGAACTGGCTCTTTCATAAATGTTGGCTGTTTAAACTTGGATCAGTTACCTTTGGGACCATTTTGTCTCTGTAGATGGATGAGGGGCCCTTAAGAAGCCTTACAGATTTCAAATGTTTGGAGTTTGGGATTCATCTTACACTTTACCCCCTTCCACCTTACCCCTTTTAGGTCCATGACAAGCAGGATGTATGTCAGGACCTTTAAGCTTCTTTTATGATTTCTTATCCAGTTGAGGGATGGTGAAACAGGAGGCTGTGCTCCTGGAGGAGGAACCACGGAATACACTGAGTTCTTGCTGAGGTTCTGCCATCCTACTTTGGAGTGTTCATCCCCCTTGAGAAACCCACTTTGCATCATGTCCTTGTAATAAACGGATGCCCTCATGCATATCTCCCTCCTTACCATTTTTGTTGTTATAATGAGCTTAACACTAACATTTTAGGGTGTTTATTATGAAGTGATGAGTTAAAAAACACAGAAACAAAAACTTTGTCCTTTTTTCAAAAAGTAGGTCAAACCTACCAAGTCTGCTATCATGTTACTGAATCTTTAGGTATTAGCCCCTGTCTCTTCTGCAGGCTCCCCGAGGGAAATGACAATGCGACCGGAATGTGTGCTCCATGATCTCTGCTTCATTAAACTGGGATAGAGCCCGTCACTTGTTAGTCTAACAGATGCTTGAACAGCACACCATGCATTAGCTCTCTGTGTCTGTTTGTCTGTGTAATACCTGAGCAGTCAGAGACGAGGGAAGGCCAGAGGGCTCTGAGCTCCCCATCAGCCACTCTAGTCCAGGTATATTGGAGGTGTCTGGGTCTGTCCCCAGATTCTTTTTCTTTTGGTCATCATGATGCTTCAGTTAATGGGGGGACAAAAATTATACTTATATACATATGGAAAAATACACACATATATATTTTAACTAGTGCTAGAATATATATATATATATATATATAATAACATTTATCACTTTAACCATTTTAAGTGTACAGATCAGCCTCATTAAATACACTCACACTCTTGTACAACTATCATCACATAAATCTCCAGGACTTCTTTCATCATCCCAAAATAAAACTATGAAGCCATTAAAAAACACCCACCCCACACAGGGCAACCACCCTTCTGCTTTCCGTGCTTGCAGATTTGACTATTGGTGTGTTACCTCACGTACGTGGAATCTTATGAGTTGTCTTTCTGTGCCTGTTTTCTTTAGCTTCTTTCTGTCTCTTTGAGTTTTGTCTATGTTATTGCATATGTCAGAATTTCCTTCCTTTCTAAGGCTGATTAATAGTTTTTTCTATGTACAAGGTACAATTAAAATATATGATGAATGTTTAAATTAAAAAAAAAAAACTATTACAGTAAAGCATTTCACCATTAAACCTCCTCAAAATACTCCCTCTAGCTTCAAATATGTATATCCCAACATTCTTGTCACTTTCTGGGGTTAGTTCTGGAGTCCTCTGTAGTGAGTGTCTTTAGTCACTCTGTCATAGCTGTCTCTATGTCCTGAATTGAATCAAAACTTTAAGGGACATTTTGTCAAGTAAAAACTTTATAGTGTGTCTTCACCTTATTCATTGGGTCTGACATTATGGCTTTTTCCTCTAGTCAAAATGGCCAGGAAAGGTAAATTTTTAAAAATGGTTAAATATTGGTATATTTTACATATACATGATGGTCATATTCATCATAGGGAATTTGTTCCATACATGATGTGTCTTGATTTTTTTCCCCAATTCCCTCACTCCAACTCTTCTTCTTCTCCTTACTTAAAAAGCTGTTTCTATTTTTCTTCTTTTCTTATATTTTTCTTTTCCTTTCCTTTCTCCCCTGCACCTCCTCCCTATTGAACATTATTGTTCCAATTTGAATATTTTCTTCCTATTTTAAATCAATCAGGACACCGAGACAGCTGGGACAGCACAACTGAAGACAGGAGAGAGAATTTCTAGAAGTGCTTCCAAATGATGGAGTAAGTGTGTTTGAAGCAAGGGAAAGTGTTTTCAGTGGATTAATGGTAATGTGTGTTTTACTGTAATCATTTTTTAGTATCTAAATATTCGCTGTATCTTTTTATCACATTTCACACCTGCCATGTCTTGTCTGTCCATTCACCTATCCACATTTGGGTTCTCTCCATTTTTGGGTTATCGTGAGCAATGCTACTGAGAATGAGGATATACAAATATACATTTGAGTCCTTTTTTTGTAATTCTTGTGGGAATATACCCAGAAGTAGAAATTCTGGATCATATGGGAGTTCTATTTTAAAATTTCTGATCAACTGCCATACTGTTTTCCCTAGTAGCTGTAGCATTTTACTGAATATATGCATAATTATTATCACTTACATTTAGTGATATATAATTCATTAAAGATTCAAATATTTTACAGAATATCCTTTAGATATTCTTTGCATGCTTCCTTTTGATCCTTATCCATAGAATTTTCTTTGGAGTCATCCTTGCCTTATCTTATTCCTCCATATCCAGGATCCAAACAGTGAGAAATTGTGTCTACGCTGCCTTAGACAAGCGTCCAGCATCCCATCAGTTCTTAAAAATTCTACTGCCGGTCTTGCTCATCTGTGCTCCCCACAGAAGCCAGAATGATCCTTCTAAAACCTATCAGATCATGTCATTCATCTGCTGGAAACTTCCCGAAGCTTTTCCCATTTCTGAAACCTGAAGGCCTGGCCATGGGTTGTGAAGCCCTTCAGCATCTCACCTGTCCCCCTGTCCTCACTTCCAGTCATCCCCTCCCTCGTCCCTGGTCCCACCAGCTCTTCCGGCGTGTCCTTGCTTGCACATTCCCACTGAATGTTTCTCCGCTCTGAACAACCCCTACTTTCATCCTTGCTTCTAGTCTGGGATGCACGGCCTGGGCCCTGCTTTCTTTACTTTGCTAAAATATAAAGAAAAAAATGCTTTTCCAGATGACCCTGAGTAAGCCTATAAACTAGCTCCCAACTCACCTGCTACCTTTCTCTTGCCCTGCTTGGTTTTCTTCATCGTATTTATTTCCACCAACCATATTTGCCTGTTCCCTATTCCATAAGAAGGCAGCTCCACGAGAAGTAGAACCGTGTGCATTTTGTCAACTCTGTATTAACAAAACCTTTAAAAAGAGCCTAGCACATACAGGCACTCCTACATTATTGTTAAATGCGTGTTTGTCCCTGAATTTTTACATAGTAGTTATGATCTTAAAAAAGAAGACTTCAAGTCAAACTTCTTTGTTCCCAAAATGGAACCTTGTTGAATTAGTTTGGGGATTTTACTTAACATGAACCTCATTTCCCTCATCTAAACAATGAGGATAAATAATAACCCCTACCCTGTAAAGTTATAGCTGAAGATTGACTGAACTAACCCATACTGTGTGCTAATCACTGTATGTGCACAGCGTAAGTGATCAAAAGTTGCTTTATTGGGGCTGGGGATTTAGCTCAGCAGCATAAGCACCTGCCTTGCAAGCAGGCAGTCGTGAGTTCGATCCCTGGTACCGATAAAAACAACAACAAAAAAAAAAGCCAAAAAAAAAAAGTTGCTTTATTATACTGATATTGCTGTTCCTTTGATTTATGCCTTTTTTTTCTCTTTCCTTGGTCTTGCTTCATATAAATAATAGAAAGTTTTAAAAATCCAGTGTTAGAATGTGTCAAGGTTTATGTCGGTGGCCCCAGGCCTCATGTGTTTGCACTGTGCATTTGTGATTGGTTTATTGTCTAGCACTTGGATTGATGGTGTCAGTACTACACTCACCTAGCGGTGGAGCCAGCATACAATGTAGTGGCAGGAAAAAGGCGTGTTTGACTCTCTTGCTGGTTTCCACCTTGCTGTTTGCAGCTGCAGTGAACTGTGCCCTGCCATGCCACCCTGCCTTGGAGCCAACTGAGTATGGACTGAAACTTACAAAAACTGTAAGAAATAAACCTTTCCCTTCTCAACTGTGGGCATCAGGTATTTTGTCCCAGCGACGAGTAAAAAGTAACTCAGACAGAATGATTTTCATTTTAATGGTTTAATGAAATCAACCCCAAGTGGGTGAAGTCCAAGTGTTTGTCTCTTCATTATATATGTTACAATGACCCCACTTTGTATACTCTTTAAATTCATAGTTTTTATTTGCCATTGTTATATATGATGTATTTTGGATTGGTCTTTTATTCGGATGGCTAGGTGAGAGGACTGAAAGTGTATGTGGCCTCTCTCCACGTGGCAGGCCCAGCACTTCCAGCTGCCTCCAGTGCTCCAGTCCAACGTTGGCGTTTCTGCTTTGGTTTTCTGGTTGAATTGGAAGCTGATAAAGGGCTGGAGGAACTAGAAAGAAGGAGGATTAGCTCAGTGGCTAGACAGACCTGGGGAAGAACAACAGTACTGACACTTTCTCACTATGGGATCTCAGTCATGTTATTTAACCTCTTGAATGTCAGCGTTCTTGTTTAAAAGGTGACTGGCCTACCTCAGAGTGTGGCTGAGAAGACTGGAGATAGTGTCTGAAGCGTGTCTGGTATGATCTGTGGTATGTGGTAAGTGTTCTTTAGTTGCAGGCAGATGCTTTCTGCCCTTTGGAGACTAATTAATGAGGGCAAGGGTTAATGTCAAGGTCCAGTTTGAACATTTTAGGAAATGCATGTTTATTCAGTGTCCTTGTATGCTGAGAGATAGGTTTCCTCCCTGCGACTTCCCCTTCTAGAGGGCAGTCTAACTTGATTTAAACACCATCAGGCGAAAAAGCTCCCTTTCCTTCCTGTCATACCCTTCATGTGATGGTGTACGCATGAGTCTTGTGCCAGTAAATGCTTTGCCCAAGATTACTGGGTCTGAAGTTTCATGGTGGCTGGAATGAAAACACATGTGATGGTCATTTGTAGTCTGGGTAAGTGTCCTGTGAAAATAAACCTCCAAGTTTTATCTCAGAAAGACTGTGCAAGTCTTTCTTCCCTTCTTTTCCTCATTTAAAAAGCACTATTTATCTTAGAGCTGAGAGAAAGCTCAGTGAGCCATAGAGTTTTTCAGTGTGTGATACCTGGGCAAGCAGGCAGGAGGGACATGTGGTTTGTCTGGGAAGAAGTAAGAATTGTTAATCTTATTGAGATCTGAGGCAAGGAGAAAGACCAGGGAGATGAGAAAGAAAGAAAATAAAAGAATGATACATATTACATGATTTATAATGATATCACAGTGAGTAAATTTAGAGACAGATGTGAGTGCTAAGATTTCAAATAAATATTTTTGGCCTAGAAATCTTTATTTGCAATTGTTTCCTACATTACTAAGTGTTATAAAACCAATTAAAGCTGAGTTAAGGGAAAAAAGAAAAGGAAAGGAATATGTGCCCGGTTATTTCCCTCCCTCTCAGCTCTGCTTTCTTACTGCTGGGCCTCCAGGAGTGATAGAATAGCCACCATACTATCAGCAGTAAAATCAGACCTTCTTTTTCCTAATAATTCCAACAAAACGTAGAGTCCAGCTTCATGTGCTAGGCTCAAATCATAAGCTAAATCAGTGATTCCCAGAGGAATTACACTGGTTCCAGGACACCTCATGGCTACCAAAATCCATGGATGCTCAAGTCTATCATAAAATGGTATAGTATTTACATAAAACCTGTGCGTATTCAGCTATGGGTCATTATAATACCTAATTAATGTAGACACTATGTAAATAATTGTTATACTGTATGGTTTAGGGAATAATGATTAGGGGAACATGACCACATGTGTTATTATGGACACAATCATGGAAGGCCTAAATACAGAGTACCTGAGAAAAACATGAGGCAAACAAAACTCAAAAGACTGTTAGAGAGACTGAGAACCTGGGAAATGGCACAAAGCTACAGCAGGACATCCCTGAACATTATTGCATTTGCGTGAATTCAGTATAGTGCTCGGTGCGTGACAAATTCAAATGTTGCTTTTTGCAAATATTTTTGATTGTAGATAGGTTGAATTCATTAATGTGAATTCTATGGAAATGGAGGGCTGAGCGATGTGCTATTTGGGCAGCCATGGTTGTATGTCCAGCTGTAGAGGGATCTGTTCTCCTGAGTTATGTGGGCTGACAGAGAGAAAGAAGTGGCTCCTCAAAGGAAAATCAGGGTGGATTGAGCAGAGGAAAAAAAACAAGAAAAAAAGAAACGAAAAGAATCTTGAGTAGGCAAAAGCCACAGGTCTCTGCTCCGTTTATGATGTGCTGATGTTTGTTCATCTGAACATTTTCCTTTTGCACATGAAAGTGCACTTCATGAAAAGCTTGAGACAAACGCAAACCCCCACCCTTCATCAGAATATAATTATAATATATCACTTTTTATAATTTTGCTGCAATCTATTGTACATACCACAAATAGGAGACTTGTACATGACTACTGAATTTTAGTTCAATAAAAGGTTTGTGCCATCTGAATTATACCTCTGCATACAAGATGGGACACATTAACTTAATTAATGTAGGATGCAGTATCATAGGCCATTGCCCTGGGAATTTATCTTGTTTTGTGCCCAGAGAGAGAAACTGGGCATCATTTTTAAACAGTCAATTTCCAATTATCCATGCTAATAGAAGAACACAGAATGTGGAGACTCTGAATACTGTTTCTATTTGGTTTCAGAAGTGCATGTGATTTTTAAAAAATTTTTCTACCTGAGTTATTTGTCTTGCTTTGACTTAGCTACCACTAAAAAGAGGTTACATTATTTGGGAGCTGTATTTTCTTTTTCATGGCTTACAAAATGTGAAATATTTTTCACTTGTGTGATTTTTTTTCATTTCTAATTTTAAACTAATTTTAGAACGACAAAATAATACAAAATAGTATAGGGCATTCCCTTATATCTCTTACTCCTTTTACATTAATGTTAATATCATACATAACCATAGAATAAACCTGGGAAACTAATATTTATAAATACTATTAACTAGTTATGATTTAGATTTAAAGTGTTCTTCAGAAGGCTGAGTTGGAGACTTAGTCTCCAGTTCAGCAATGTTAGAAGTGTGACATTTGCAAGCTAATTGGATTATGAGCCCTCTAATTCATCAGCGGGTTAATCTGCAAATGAATACATAATTTCATGGCGTTGTTAGGAGGTGATAGAAACCTAGAAGGTTGGGTCTAGTTGAGGGAGTGGTCTTGGGGATGTGACCTCGTTGACTCACGTGTCCCTGGCCCCTTCCTCTCTGGCTCCCTGGTTGACTGTCTGATTCTCTGCTTCCTGGCTGCAGTGAGGTTGGCAGCTTTCCTCCACCATCCCCTGCCACTGCCTTGCCACAGTCTGAAATACAGCAGAGTCAGTTGATCATAGGCTGAAACCTCTGAGGCCATGAACAAAAATCAAATTTCCTCCTTTAATTTGTTCATCTCAGATACCCTGTCAAAGCAATAAAAACAAAAACAAAAAACCAGACTAACATTGAACAGGACTATAGAATTTATTTGGATTTCATCAGCCTTCTACCAAGGCCATTTTTTAAAAAATTTTTTGCTCCACACTCCTACATTCAGTTGTTATCTTTAGCATCCTCCAGTTCTTAATATTTCCAGTTTTTCTCATTTTTCATGATCTTGACATGTCTGAGGAATACTGATCAGTTACTTTTGTGTAGAATGCCCTCAATTTGAGTTTGTCTGATGTTTCCTTCTGCTTGGAATAAGGTCACATATTTTTGGTAAAAACACCACAGAAATGAGTTATGTTCTCCATGCATATCAAAAGGTTCATACTATCAATAAATATGTCTGATGACTGGTACTGTTGACCCTCATTACTTGGATAAGGTGGTTTTCTACTAGGCTTAATCATAATAAAGTTTTTCATCCTTGCTTTTATACTTAACGAATATATTATGGCAGATACTTGGAGATTATATAAACTGATCCATGTAGTTTTATCATCCATTAGTAGATCTTGTTTGCAACAATTTGTATCATAGTGTTTGCCTATGACGAGCTTCTGTTTCCTTCCTTCCTTCTGCATTTATTAGTTACAATTCTATTGTAAAGAAGAGCTATCTTTCTCGTATTTATTTGTTTAATTTTTCTATGGGTTAACCTGATACTATCGTTATTTTGTTTATAGAAGTTTTTGGGTCTTGAGCATTAAGAGCTCCCTCAGATTGTACTCTATTGTTTTATTTATTTATTCAGTAGACTTTTAAAGAACACTTTTAGGTTAACAGAAAAATTGAGCAGAACACATAGAGATTTCCCATGTACCCTCTGTCTCTACCATGAACAGCTCCCACCCATTTATCCACATCCTCTGCTAGAGTGGTACATATGTTACAACTGATGAACATATGTAGACATAGTTATTACTCAAAGTCTATAATTTGCATTAGGGTTCATTCTTGATGTAATTTTGTGGGTTTTGCCGAATGTGTTAAAATAAGTATCTATCAATGTAACTTCAGCCAGAATAGTTTTACAGCCCTAAAAATACTTTGTGCTCTGCCCATTCATTCTTTTTTCCTTCTACTTTCCTGGAAATCACTAATATTTTTACTATCCATAGATTTCATTTATAGTGCCATGTGGCTACAATCCTGCTATGTGTAGTCTTTTCAACTGGTTTCTTCTTTCAACTAGAATTATATACTTAATTTTTTCCTGTGTCTCTTCATGCATTCATAGCTCATTTCTTTTTAGTGCTCAATAACATTCCATTGTCTGGATTTACCATATTTTATTTATCCAAGCCCCATTCTTTCGACAAACCCATATTCTTTTGAAACACCTCATTATGTTCTGCCATTAAACAGTGTTCCTGGCTTATCTTGTATTATCCTTGCCCTAGCACTAGAATGAACCTCTGTTCAAGGACTCCAACTTTATTGTAGAATAATATTTTGAAGTCAAGGCCTTGGTCTAGGTGTTCTCATTGCTTCTGGGATGTGATTATTTTGGGTTTTTTTCCTCCACAGGCAGAGCTAGGAAATATATG